CACTGTAATACTTTCAACAATAAAGATAAATTTTAAAAATAATGACTAAATAAATAAATAAATAAATAAAGCCAGAGCAGATAAATATAATCATCCCTGATCACATCCATAGGATAAGGTCAGATCTTTTTAGTCACTATTTGATGGTTAAAAATTATTTTCTCAAAGTAATGTCACATTACTAAGTATATTATCTAATTTTTAGAAAAAAATACATATATACATTTATGTATATTTATGTCTGGAAGGATATACACTAGAATGTAAGTTATATTTATCTCTAGATGGTAGAACAAAATTTCAATTTTATGTACCTCTAGCTTTTAATTTTTTCTACAATGAACATTTTAACATATAATAAAGAAGTTTTATACATTTTTAAGGGGGAAAATAAGTTTTCCTGAGTATTCTCCATATCTCAGCAGAGGAATTTTGGGAAACATGAGCATCATGACCACCCTATCATGGCTTCTTAGACTCTACATGCTTTTTTCTCTCTGTTTTGCTCTATATCTGAGATGTCAGAGATGCTACTGAAATTACATTTTATCTACTCCAAAACTTAGTTGAATCCATCTCAGAGATGCACTATGCAATGGGTTATCTCATTACAGAACAATTTCCCTGGAGGTATAAGGGACTTTATAAGACTTTCTAGTCTTTTATCTGCAATGATCTTTTGTTCCACTTTAGTCCAGCATTAACAAATACACCCAGGGCACTCTCCACCCAAACTCTTGTTTCTTTAATTGGTCAAGAAACAAAGCCCACTAGTTCATTACTCTGCAGGAGCTATGGATAATTTAGTGGGCTTTGTTATTGCTGACTGCAGTCTCACTGAGCCTCAGAAAACTCAGGAGGACCACTTTCCCCCATAATTACCACCCTCCTTAGCTCATCTCAGTTTTTTCTAGTACAACTGTACAAACTCTAATACTTCTCTTCAGGCAGTTTAATCTTATGAGAATCCTATATTTCCAAACTGTGGCCAGTCAGAAAACCAGTATCTAATATCACCTATGTTTTGTTTATAGTATTCTCTCTTCATTCTTCATCTCATCATTAATATCATTAATTCTGATAACCAGAAAATGTTTCTTACCTGCAGGAGGCTCTGATTTGGTGCCTAAGGACTTGGATTCATTTGTGAACCTCACTTCAGCATAAGTGATCTCTGAAGTCATATTGAGAAGTGACCCTCTGCTCTCTTCAAAAAAATCCTCTTTATCTCTTCCTTAAAACATCCTAAAATGAAAAACAGACAGGATGGTGACTTGTCATACTTCCTATTATGCAGCCAAATGAGAACAGATGCCACAGATTGTAAGTAGCCCTGAGAGGAACCTCATGAGAACTTAAACCTCAAGACAGAGGCCCATTCTCCAGGACCAGCATGGTGGAAGTTATAGCCTTTAAACATATGCTAGCAAAAGTAAAAAAAACTAGGAACTCAAAGGGTAGAGGAAAGAAATAAGAAGTAACATAAAAGAGGAATTAAGCAACTAGAGAAGTCTTTCATGAGAACTGTGTTATTTGAACTCACCAGCAAGAATAAAATTTAAGTATTTGTATGCATCTATATGCAAACAATTATTTGCAGACAGACCAATCTTGGCATATACTCACTTAGGCTGCATTCTCCTCACCATCTGTTGCTGATCAAGGACACCACATTCTAAGAGGATCATTGAAAAAAACTTATGTCAGCTTCCTACTTTTAACAGTCAGCATCCTCTAATATATTGGGGAAGTGAAACTTTAGATGGTATGCCTTCTGAATCTTCTCAGTGCTGTCTGATCTTCCCTGTTGTTCTTAACTAACTCCATCATGAATCTCCATTTATTTTGCTACAGTCACCTCCAGCAACTTCTGAAAGTGACTCTCTGTTGGGTGTTAGAGGAGTAGGCCACCCTTCTCTATTCCACCCTTCTCTATCCCTTTCAATCCCCACAACAGCACAACAAAAGACTATGCATGTATATATAACTATTTTTTTAACAGTTAGGATAATTTAATGAAATTGCAGTTTAGAAGGAGATAAACTGAGTGTTAAATATGATTATATGATTTTTTTCCAAAGGCCAAGAGAAAAACACTCCAAACATTAAATCCTCTGTGTGAAATCTTTTCATAGACCACCTCCCAGCTCACACCTGACACAGCTATCCCCAAATAATCCTCCTTTTAATCCCCCCACTTAACTCATCCCTCTCCTATCACACACACACTTCTATATTTATTTCTATATCTAAGCATATTGAAAATATGAGCTCACACTAATACCTCTAATTCTAATCCAACACCAAAGAGTTCATTCCAGTTTTCTCCCTTTCAACAACTCCCTTCTATGACAGTAAGAAATTTGCTTTCATTACCTTGAACTTCTTCCTTATTTGATCAATCCTCTGGATATAACCAATCTTCTATTCTTGCTGCCACTCCCTCCCTCACTAAGATGCCCTTCTGTCCCTGAATAGGCTCTGACTCCCCAGTCCAGGCCCCCACTGTTGTTGATGTCCTCTTCATTCTGCTTGGGTGTTCTTGCACAAGGCCAACCAGCCCCCATGGACATCCTCCTCACCTTGCTCAGGTCTGACACCCTACACTAGGCCACCAGTACGAAATCACTCCTTACTCTTGCTGGACTGATTCTGGATACTGGCCCCTAACCCCCATTTTGAATGCATCGTTACCCCATTTAGGCTCTAACATCCTACACAATGACCTCATGTGTGTAAGCTCTCCTCACCCTGCCTGGGCTCTGCCTCTTCACACTGGGCTGCCCCGCCCCATGGACAGCCTTCTTATCCTGCTCAACCTCTAAAACCCACACCAGTAAGGGAAAGGGAAGTTCTAATTCTTATAAATTTTCTAGAAAATCACTACAGCACCTAACAAGCACTTGCATGTGAACAGGTATGCATTCTCCTCCCAATAATAATCATTGATTATCAGAGGCTTAATGATCTAAGCTTGTAAGGAGAAAGCAAAATATATTCTTAAAGGAATCTCTCTTTCCATGGAGTAAGTCACAATCTAACTGGATTCCATTGTATTACAAGCAACCCATAAATCTGAGTGTCTCACAACAACAAACATTTACTTCTCCCTCACATTACATGTGGGCTTAGGGTCTGCTTAAGGTTGACTGTAACTCTGCTTGGCGCTTCATTAAGTGTTTTCTCATTCTGGAACTTAGGATCATAGAGAAGATACTTGTAAGCTGAAACATGTAGTAACATTCAAATCCTCAGTTCAGATAATATGTACATTCTATCCACTCTGATTACACTGGCCTGTGCAAGTCACCTGAGCAAACCTGTGAATGGGGCAGGGAAATACACTCTACTGACAGGAAGACCTGTCAAGGGCAGCAAAGTGTAATACTATCACAGAAAGAAACACTTGAGAACAATAATATAATCTACCCAAATCCCTTTGTTTTAGTCATTTGAGCTGCCAAGATAAAAATAATATAGACAGCGTGGCTTAAACAACAAACATTTCTTTTGCAGAGTTCTGTTGACTGGGAAGTCCAAGATCAAGGTGCCAGATGTGAGACTCCTTCCCGCTTCCCAGATCATAGATTGCCATCTTCTCACTGCATCCTCACAGGACAGAAAGAGTCAAGGAGTTCTCTGGAGTCTTTTCTAAGGACAGTAATCCCATTTGTGAGAACTCCACCCTCATGACCTAATCAGCTCCTAAAGGCCCCTCCTACTGATACTATCACATTGGGGTTATAATTTCAACATATAAATTTTATGAGACACAAACATCCAGTCCATAGCATTCTTTAAATTATTTAGCCAAGGGATCTCTAGGGCAGTAATCTCAAAAATGGAACATACAAGTGCCCCAGGTAGTATAAAAGAGGAACTTCTAGGGCACAGAAATAAAATACTAGAACTTCCATTTATATGTATTTAAACTGTTAAGGAAAATAAGCCTTACTAATATATGGATTGAGTATAGGTTGCATGTAATGTGTGGTAGGGGATCTATCATGAGGAAAAAGAGCAGAGGTTCCACAACTCTAGTTCCTGGAAGGTAGCCTCTAAATCCTTGTATTTCCTGAGTAATAAGAGTGTCTTTGTTATTCATGGTGAGCCTTGACACTTTATATTAATGAAGTCACTCATAGTAGGCCCGGAGATAGTTTATGCTAACAAGATGATTCAAGATGGGGACTGGCCAAGCCAGAAAGACCAAGCATGGGATTAGAGTGTTGGGGCTTTGTGCTGTGAGATATCAGTCTGGAAAGGAGAGGGGAGCTGGAGATAGAGTTCGACCTTGCATCAAATGATTCAATCAAGTATGCCTATTGAAAAGGTTCAAAACAGATCTCCCCAAGATGTGACATTTTGGCATGCGAATTACTTTGAGCTGAAGTTCTCATGTTGACTCATGAGAAACTTATTTCTCCCTTTAAAAATTTCAGTAGGGGGCCTTGCCCATAATAAGACATAACATTTTATGACTTATCTAATTACTGAACATCTGCCCTTATTGTCCTGTGAATGACCTTTCTCCCCTCTAAAGCCCCAAAGTGCTTTACCTCATCCTCAGCTCAGAATTCCATATATACTTCATTTTAATTTTGTCTTCAAACACTTTGTATATGTGGGCTTCTCATATGCACGTAGGCAATTAAATTTGGTTATTTTCTCTTGTTAAACTAGCTCATGGAGATTTAATTATTAGACCAGCCAGAAGAACCTAAAGGGTAGAGAAGTTTCTTTTTCCCCACACTAATTAATAAACCTCAATAAAAATTCTGGGCACCAAAGCTCAGGTGAGCTCCCTGGTTGGCAATACTCTATGTATCATCACACATTAATGTGCCAAGAAGGTGACACATCCCTGGGGACAATGAAAGCTTCCCAATTGGGACCCTCCTAGACCTCACCCTATGTGTCTCTCCCTCATAGTTTGGGTAGGGTTTATGGTTTATGGAAGGAAGACCACAGAGGTGAAGTAACAAATCAAATGCATATGACATAAACATGACTTATCGCCCGGCTGGGTGTGGCTCAGCGGTTGAGCGTCGACCTAGGATCCGGGCGATCGGGGGGGTTCGATTCCCGTTTGGGGCACATGCCCAGGTTGCGGGCTCGATCAATGACTCTCTCATCATTGATGTTTCTCTCTCTCTCTCTCTCCCTCTCCTTTCCTCTCTCTGAAATCAATAAAGGTATATTTTAAAAAAACAAAACAAAAAAACATGACTTATCATTGATGTTGTTAACGTTGATCCCCCTGTCAATGTAGTGCTTACCAGGTTTCTCCATTATACAGGGTGGGGCAAAAGTAGGTTTACAGTTGTTCTTATGGAAAATAATACAATAATAAATAATAATACAAGAATAAACTCTTGTGTTTCGAGTACTCACAATTGTAAACTTACTTTTGCCCCACCCTGTATTCTTTCTGCCTCCCTTTCCATACTGTACTCTTTGGAAGCAAGTCACCTAATATACCACACGGTAAAGACTGAGGAAGGGAGCTTCACCTCCTTCAGGAGAAAGCATCTAAATAAATTATTTGGAACTCTAATGCACAGGGAATTTGTCTATTCCCCATTCATTTACTCCATTATTTATATAAGTCTGAATTCATGGATATTTAGGGGGGTTATAATTTGGGTTGTAATCTAATACTACTCCATTTATTATGTTGCTCAGATTTCAGCTTTGGCCATTTTTTTAATTCTTTTTTTACTTTAAACAATTTTTTATTTTTCAATTACAGTTGACATACAATATTATATATTAGTTTCAGGTGTACAACCCATACATTAGACATTATATAACTTACTAAGTGATCATCCCAATAAATCTAGTTACCCATCTAACACCATATATAGTTATTATAATATTATTGACTATATTCCATATGCTGTACTTTACAATGCCATAATAATTCTGTAACTACCAATTTGTACTTCTTAATCTCATCACCTTTTCCACCCATTCCCATAACCATCTGGCAACCATCAAAATATTCTCTGTATATTTGAGTCTGTTTCTGTTCTGCTTGTTTATTTTGTTTTATAGGTTCAATTGTTGATAGATGTGTATTTATTGCCATTTTATTATTCATATTTTCAATCTTCTTCTCTCCTTCGTCTTCTCCTCCTCCTTC